ATATATGTATATATGCATATGTATATGTATATAAAATATATATATATATATATATATATATATATATTGTATATATTTTATTTCAAATACAAGTGTACAATACACAGGAAAAGATTTTGCGGAAGTATTCAAAATTTAGATAGATACAAATTTGAAAATATAATTTTGTTAGATTATCAAAATAATTAATGTAAAAAATTCAAGCATGATGACAGTAAGACTGCAGAAAATTTTGCCAATCTAGCAATCAGCTTAAATGTTTAACATAACATTTTACATAATTATTTTAGTAATTCAACAAAATTATTTTCAGATCTGTATCTAGCTAAATTTTTAGATGCTTAGGTAAAACCATTCTTTCCGTGTAGTTCAGCTACACAGAGAGATTTCTTCTAATTCATTTCCCGACCTGGGAAACGATTCTTCTTCTTGACGGAAAATATTGATCGGCAGTCTGGTTTTGCGATTATCCGAATATTAAGAGAGAATATTAATTGATCTTCCGATTTTATATCGCGTGTTCTAATTTTCAAATTAATTTAGAAAATAAAATCCAGAGACTAACTGGATGATGGCAATGTTATCATTTATTTTTTCTTTCGAATTTCAGCATAAAAATCATAAGCGTCTCAACAGTCTTTTCTGAAGGAAGAATCGCCTCCAAGTCGAGCCAAGGGTTCCGTTACTCCCAGATATACTCTTTCGCCACGCAGAGGCGAAAGAGTATATCTGGGGGTAACGGAACACCCCATGTATAAACGCGCACGCCACTTCGGTCTCCACTTCGCGCTTCGCCCACGCGGTGAATAATCTGAACCTACGAAAGGTTACATCTATTCCGTTCCTCCGCGCATATCTCGTGACGTATACCTCTCCGATGACGACACCTACGAAACCGCATCCGACCGGATGCGGTTTCGTAGGTGTCGTCATCGGAGATAAGCACCCCCGTGTCCCTCCCACCCTTTCGCACGGTCTTATGCGGGTCTGTTCCTGTTCATATCTCTCCTTACATCTAATTGGATGTCGGATTTTATATATTTCACTTGTGTAGACGATCGAGAATACGAATTTTAGTATTTCTTCTTCTTCTTCTTTTTTTTTTATTTCAAGAAGAATGGCACGCGAACAAATGTAAACGATAAAACGTAAACAGCAAGAGTCGACTAATCAAATCGAGAATTCTTGAGAATGTAAGTCTACAATTTTGAAATTCTCGAATGTGAATGATCGATTCACGTATTTTGTTTAAATCTTGCTATTTATTGTGCATATCAAGACAAATATCGTTTTTAGCTGCTGCGGTGCGACCGACCACGAAAAATCTTTCCACTTGTACATCTACATGTACGTGTCTCTCTTCGCAAATCCTCTTTTTCTTCCTTTTCTCCGCTCAATCCGAATATATGTACTTCTTTCATCTTAAGTCTTCTATAAGCCTGTGTTTTTTGTTTCCTGTTTCTTGTCTTTGTTTTTACACCTTCTCTTTTTGCTTCTTATCCGATTTTTGTTTTATATCGCCCGAGATAAAAGTTAACGAACTTTGAAAGAAACAAGAAATATGTAAGAAACAAAAAATACAATTGTTGATAAAACGGTTGCAAAGGAGGAAAAAGCAAAAAGTAAAAAACAAGAAATAGGAAACAAAGAGCACATTGTAGAATAGGTTTTAAGTATACTTTTGTCAAAACTAAGAAAAACAGATCTGCAAAGAAACAAAAGTAGATCCATTTAGCTGCATGTTTAATTTAGCACTTATGTTGGTATATTTAAGATTAAACAACGAGAAGAAAAGAAAACGTGAAAGCTGACCTAATTTTTTCTCTCTCGAAAGTTCAATAAAAAAAATCAGGATTTTATTAAAAAGAACATGAGAAAAAAAGAAAACTAAAGCATTATCTGATTAATATACTGTTAAACTTATAGTGTAAAAAAATTTAATTTAATTCAAGTCGATACTGCTTTTACTCAATATATTGTTTTTTATTATTAAAATAACGGATAAATTTGACACTATTACTTAAGCACTGTATGTATAGTGTCAAATTTATTCGCTGTTTTTAGTACAAAAAAAATATATATTGAGTAGGAGCAATGGCGACTTAAATTGAATTAAATTTGACACCATAGATTTAACAGTGTAATGTTTCCATACATGAAACACGAACACATAATAGTAATAAAAAAAAAACAAACAAACTGGCATATAGCTAAAATTATAACGCACGTTAATAAAAGAAAATTCAAATTTTATCATTTTAAATAAAAAAAAATCGTGCTCTCTCCACATCAGAATAATTTTGCGAACAGGACAACCATCAGAATTTTCCAGATTTTTTGCGCAATTTCGACAAATTTCAATTTTGACGCTGGGTGCACGGGTATTGTATTTAATATCACTTTATTCGCAAATTGTCGTATTTGCATCGGCGGAAATTAAATAGATGACTCTCGTGCGACATTGAAATATTCAGAACACGAATTTACCGAAATTACAGGAACAATCAAGCCAAAAATATATAACTGATCCAATTTGCGATCACGGCGCAGCGCGGTGTGACGTTATATTTCTCAAATCACTCATGGAATGATTTCTGATGAAATATCATGAATTATAGAAATGGAAAAGAGTATCTCTGCCATTCGAGAGAAATTGTGTTACAGCCGTTCTATTCCCTCCCCATTCTCCAAATGCATATCACAATTATCCCGATCGGCCGGGAATTCCACAATTTCCACATCTACGGAGTTTTCGTCATCGTTCGAGTCATGCAAATCCGCGACATCGTCGATCGTTTATATATCGTAATAATACACGATACGTTTCGCCGATCGGATATTTTGACCCGCCATTCACCGCACTCTCGTCGGGCAATTTCTCTCATTATACAACGATTGCCGATTGTCGAATCTGCACGCGGACCGTTGCTCTGAATCCTGATCGACGGTCGTGGAGCGCGCGACATTTTGCGACGTGTCGAGATTCATCCTCCCTACGATTCTTGGATTCCGCGGATTCTCAAAGCTCCGAAAATTGAAGAACTCGCGTGTGTACATGGAGAACAATAATATTCTAGAGTAGTAGTGACGTTATTTAAGTTGTGACGTTATTTATTGTCATTTTGATATTAGAACGATGTTTTTAACGTCAATTTTTTCACGACAAATAATATCAGCTTGATATCTTCTAAATATAAACGGAAAAAATGATTCAAGTATCTAAATTTATTTATACAAGAGATATAGATCTGAAAATAATTTTAATATAGACTACGAAAATAATTACATACACAGGAGTGTTGAAACAGAATGATCAATGCTGCAAAAAGTTTAGACATTCTAGCAATTCTTATATTGTAGTTTGAGTGACGTCCTACATAATTATTTTTTTGATGGTGGAATAAAATTTTTTTCAGATCTGTATCTATTTAGCTAGTTAACAAATTTTATACTTGAGCAAATATCGTCCTTCTCGTGTATGTACTCGCGATAAACGCGTGCTAGTGTTTCACCGTGTTCAACTTTCAACCTCTCAGCTTTTATGCATTTTTTCAAATCGTTCTAGGGAAAGGTAAAAAAGCGAAGAATAAAAAAGCGCGATCATGGGAGAAACGGACCCAGCCAGCGCAGCGAGGTGGCACTAACCCCGGGGGTCGTGGTCGTCGTCGCGTTAGTATCGATGACTCGACGATAAACGGTGGTGTTCAGCGCGTTCGAAGGGGGCATTCGCGGACAACGTCACGGATATCGCGGACGACGCACGGATGGCGAAGGGCGAAGGGCGATCGGAGATGTATGTGATGAAGATGAGGAAACCTGCCGTTGCGGTCGAATGACAGAGGTCTTCTCGCGGTTTCTCTCTTCGGTTCCGCGAACAGACCACGCTCGGCCGTGCTCGATGATTTTCCTCGCGACTGTCGCTCCGAGTCCGCAGTCTTTAACCCACACCGGAGCGTCGTGTCGCGTCACTCGCACTGCGTACGCGTGCGTGAGTGTGTACGGTACGTGCGTGGGTTCGCCAATGACGCCAACACGCGCTTGGACAGGACGACACTTTTCTTCTTTCTTTACGTTACGTTACGCCCGTTACGGAATCGCGGCGAAGCGACGCGACGACGCGGCGAACTAGGCTAGGCGGCCTAGGCGCTGCGCGACCACCCGTTCGAACGTCAACCCCCCTGA